ATGTGCGACAAAAGCTAGGAATAGGCTTGTTTAGAAACTTGTTTATGGGGTTAATGAAAGTAACATCATATAGGAAGAGATCACGAGAGGAATGATGAATGAGCAGGGTGAAGAGGGGGAAACACAGAGAAGAAACCAGAGTTGAAAGAGCTGAGAAAACAAACCACACATCATACAGAGACCAGAGACAGGAGTTGAAGAAACCTAAGAACGGGTCCCAGAGTCAACAGGTGTGAATTTGTAGCACTACTGGACAAGTTGTATTTCTGCTCATCACATCAAGAACAGCTACTTCCAGCAAAACAAAAGATAGAATAGTGATAAATCATATTCCTCTCCCCCAAAAGCCAAGATTTTCAGACAGCACAGAGCGTTTCCCTCCCCACCGCTTAAATCTCTCATTTGCCAACACCTCTCTGGATAGAATGACACTAGCTCCTAGCTAGTCTGAATTACATAGGCAGATCTTAGGACAGAAATTTTAATCTTCACCATCTTCCAACAAACACAGGTAGGTATCACTACTATCATTACTAGTAAACAAGTTATTCTGAAGTAGTACAGAAACGCTGTCTTGAACAGCTAAACATCTCTGCTGCTGCTACTACCATCAATGGTGATATGTAAGGAAATGAGATTTGAAAAGTCTGCCTTCAGTCTCATGTAACAAGCAGTACTCCGAGTGAACTAGTCACTCCGTTATTTTCTTTGCAGCTATAATCTTTTGTTCTTCGACTCTGCTAGTGCCAACATTGGATTTCTGCTCCATTCATTATGGCAAAAAAATATCCAATACACCTACAAAATCTGCTACCGATTTTCAGTCCGATTATCTCTTTGCTGTCTTTCCATTGGTTTCTTATAAAGTCAGAGATCTTTTCCCCCCTATAGCCCCTATGACTTGTGAAGAAGGCTCTTTTCAGTCCCCTAAAGGACGACACCAAACTACTCATACATCAGAGCTAAGTGAAGATGTTGATTTTTACCCTCAAACACCAAAAGACTTGGAAGCCTTTTGGCTTCCAAATATAACACTTCTCCCGACCATAATGCCACAGCTACAGCAAGCAAGGTGCTGACTTGTTTGCCTTCCCTTATTAATCATAGAATCATTATGGCTGGAAAAGACCTTTAAGATCAAGTCCAACCGTTATCTAACTCTACCGGGCCCACTTCTAAACCATGTCCCTGAGCACCATATCTAGACAGCTTTTAAATACATCCAAGGATGGCAATTCAACCACTTCCCTGGGCAGCCTGTTCCAGTCTCTGATAACCCTTTCAGTGTAGAAGTTTTTCCTAATGTCTAACCTAAACCTCCCCTGGCACAACTTGATGCCATTTCCTCTTGTCCTGTTGGTTGTAACTTGTGAGAAGTTACCCTCCTTTCATGTAGCTGTAGAGAGCCATAAGGTCTCTCCTCAGCCTCCTTTTCTCCAGACTGAACAACCTCAAGTCCCTTAGCCGCTCTTCATAAGACTTATTCTCAAGACCCTTCACCAGCTTTGTTGCCCTTCTCTGGACCCTCTCCAGCACCTCAATGCCCTTCTTGTATCGTGGTGCCCAAAATTGTACACAATACTCAAGGTGCAGCCTCACCAGTGCTGAGTACAGTGGGACAATCACTTCCCTAGCCCTGCTGGCTACACTATTCCTGATGCAGGCTAGGATGCTGGTGGCCTCCTTGGCCACCTGAACACACTGCTGGCTCATATTCAGCCAGCTGTTGACCAACACCCCCAGGTCCTTTTCTGCCAGGCAGCTTTCCAGACACTCTTCCCCAAGCCTGTAACGCTGCATTGGGTTGCTGTGACCCAAGTGCAGGACCTGGCACTTGGCCCTGTTGAACCTCATACCATTGGCCTCAGCCCATCGATCCAGCCTGTCCAGATCCCTCTGCAGAGCTTTCCTACCCTTAAGCAGATCAACACTCCCACCCAACTCGGTGTTGTCTGCAGACTTACTGAGGGTGCTCTCAATCCCCTTGTCGAGATCAAAATCATTAACAAAGATATTAAACAGGAGTGGCCCCAACACTGAGCCCTGTGGAACACCACTTGTGACCAGCTGCCAGTGGGATTTAACTCCATTCACCACCACTCTCTGGGCCTGGCCACCTAGATGGTGGAAGGCTACTGCTGACAAAAGGCTTTTGATAAAGATTTCCTCTGGAACAACCATATTTTCCAATTGATATGCAGCAAGATCCCCCATCCAAGCAGCTTCCTGTAATGTAGACTCTCTTTGTAAGCACTTGACCAAATACTTAATCACTCTGTCCTAGAACAATAAAACACAGCTCTTACATAAGGCTTTTCAACGCTGATCTTCAAACACTTCACAAAGTTGCTGCTATCTATTACTGTTAACCCCAGAGACACGATACCCCACTCTTTTACCCAACAGGTTAATGACAGAGCTGAAAACAGAATCCATGTTTCTTCAGCCCCAGATGAGTACTACTTCTACCATGCCATACTGCCTGATATTTCTTTGAGAATAACCCAAGTCCAAACTGACATTCAACAGTCACTTCTACTTAGGTAAGGAAAACCTAAAACCCTCTCTACTTTCATAACAGAGTCAGCTACCACAGCTCTCATGTGCTGTGTTTCATAAAATCCAAAGAGGTCTTCAGGGTACTTATTGAGGGTGTGCCTGTACTCTACAGCAGCAGGACACTTCTCAGACTAATTAGCTCATGTGGAGCTCCCTCGCTATATTGCTTCTGAGCAAGCTCATTTATCTTCATATTACATTATGCAGTTTAGGTACACCTTCAGACAAATCAATTTCTCTAGGTAAGGGATACATGCCTGATGAGGCAAAAGCAGTTTAAGTGACATTATTATGAACACATGTTCTCACAGTACAGTCACTTACATTTCCAGTTGACTCTCAGGTTTAAATTCTTTGTAGATCAGAATGGATTTAAATTAAAATAGGAAAAAAATCCATTGTTCTATTCATATCAGAAAGAGAAATGTATCTATAACAGCTTAGGTGAAATTTGGTAAGGAGAGATGTGAGAGGGTCTTCTCCCCTAGCATGAGGGATGTGATTTGCTATTCAAGAAAAATTAACAATAGTCTGAATGACAGAGAAGCATCAAATTCCTAAAATATGTTTGCATTGGAAACTTGCTCAAGTTCAGCAATAAATTTGCCACGCACTTCCTGTATGCAAACACTGAGTGTGTTTAAAGGGTGTTTCTTTTCTGCCCACCTTCCTAGAGTCTGACTGAGAACTCCCAAGACCCAATTCTTGATTCACTCTATCTCTGCCGTCAGCAACTATCTGCAAGTGTCACTAACAAGGTATGTGTTTTTACATTTCTCCAACACTACAGAAGAAGACAGAAGAATTAGAGGTTCAAGCTTACTTTGTCAGTGATTTATATAATTACTTACACAAGACCCACATGACAACATCTCTGGTTTTCAGCTGGTATAAAATACACACCCCACCACCACCCCAGAATACTACTACCATAAAAAGGTGAACTCTAATGGTCAAGAAACTAAAGTACCTCTCTCACTCCTGCACGCAAATGCTGTATGATATTGCCCTTCAACTAACCAATCACACCTTATTTTTTTTCCAGAGGATCTTTTCCTTGTTCTAAGGATAGGATAGATAGTGCTAATACTGAATAAGTACTCATTCAATACTTCATTTCATCCTCACTGTTCATTATGTGGCATCTTTGTATAATTTACAGCAACTACATCTAGAATCATAACTAGAAAACTTCTAATTTCTCTGTTGATCACTATTATGTACCTGAATTATTTCCTTACACTAATTACTCCACAGCACCTCCATCAGACAATATTATAATTCTTGTGTTCAGGTAGCAAACTGAGAGACAGTGATGTGCATCAGGATTGCCCGTAATTAGAGATGCTTGACTTGAGATGCTTTGGGTCTCTCTTCAGAGGATAGAGCAATTAAACAGCACTTTGTCAGTACAAAGTACAACTTCAATCTATTTCAGTGCTATCATGTGTTTTCAAAGCTGACATTAATCGGTCCCAAGAGTCTGAACTCAGAAAATGAGAAGTACACAACTAATAGCCATATTTAACAAATGTGGTTGAAGTGACTCGCCCAACCTCACACAGGAGCTCTATAGCCGAATTAAGATTTGGCTCTAACCCTCCAGGAACAACACCCCAGCAACCCTAGCTTTAAAACCAACCTCTTTTAGTGTTATTCTCTCCCTTCCTCAGCTACTAGGTCTCATCCACCTTCAGCAATTATGAGGAATCAGATCTAAAGGAAACAACCTCATTCATTAGCACACCTGGATTAATTTCCCAAATGCTAACTAGTCTTCCTGAAAATAGCAAGTGTTTTATGGATAAAGAAAGAGTCTGAAATGACATGAGCATATGTCACTTTGAGGCAGAAATATAACATGACCAAACTGAGTTTGCACAAACAACTTCAATTCTGGCATTTCCTATCTGCTGAGAACTTTGCATTGCATCACTGTCAGAGAATTTCACATTCCCAGAATTTTCATTTCCTGCAGTCGTAAAAAACAATATAAGATTTAAATGAAATTTTGTGTCTCCATCATCACTTTGCAGCTTCAAGCTTGAAGAACTTCTGCTATAGGGCCTGTTAATATGAAACATCATCCAAACAATCACTGCAAGGGCAATTCTTCACCACAAAGTTAATGGTCTATGAGATAACAGTACACAGTATATGAACATTATACAGTTAGGAACTACAGTGCAGCAACAAGCAGAAGTCTCCTAACAACAATTTCTACCACCTCAAAAGACTGAGCTTCTTTCAGTTTGAACAATACCAGCAGATAATGCCACTTCCCTTGTTCGACGCCAACACAATACCCAAGCTTTAATTCTAAAAGGTTTTACAAACCACAATAGCATCACATTGCAGTCAGTGTTTTGCCATGCAGGCTCATCATAAACAAACACGTCTTCTGTTTAAAAAAAGCATTCAAGAACAAAACAAAAACTCACCTCATTTCCACCAACAGCTTTGGTTAAAATCACTGCAGAAGACACAGGAGGTGGCATGCAGCCTACTGTCTGCAAGCTGAAACAACAAAAAGAAATGTTACATTTCTCATATGACGCAAACACTATGCAACCTAAAACCTTAAAATACCAAATAGCTGATTAGAAACAATCATCCTATCACCTGCACAACCCAATCAGTTTGTGTTACAGTTACAGCCCTGCACCAGCTGGCAGGATTTCTATGACATCTCTTACCAACCACCACAGTGAAGAATCACGTCACCATTTAAAAACCCAAACACTTAACCTCTCTGTGACTTCATTTCCCCATCTATAGTACTGTATCTATGATTCACAAAGGTATCTACACATCTATCACAAAGATAACTGCATCATGTGTCCTGATGTAATAACATTTGTAGTGTTTTGAGATACCTGTAGCGATTTCGGGGGGGGGAAGGATATAAACCTGTATTTTCTTGAAAAAGCTGTTCAGTGATAAAAACGCTTACTGCTAAGTAGAACAGTAAAGAGAACCATGCTCACTATTTCAGGTTCCCACTACATTTTGTTTTCCATCAACCCCTACAAAAAAAAAAGTCACATTTTTTATTTCCTGAACATTAAAAGGACATCAAATGTTTAATTTTTATGCATGTTTTCACTTCTTTGTAAAATCACCTGACTTCCATTAATCAACACATCGAAATCTTTCTCCTGCATTTTAGAAGTCTAAAATACATTATTATTATCTGTCATTTTTTTCCATTGTTTGTGCAGCAAAGTTAGACGTATATAGTAAGTGCTGTTGCAGAGTAAGAAAAATTGGTGAGCTTTCTTTTGTTGTCAAAGACAGTCCACAAAAAGTGGTTATGACAAAGATTAGTTGTATCAAATGTGTATTTAGAAACAAGAAGAATATACCACGATAGATAACAATTAAATTTAGGAAGAAATAAAACAGGCCTTCAGGGGAAAAACTGTGTTGACTTAAAAGGAACACTAAGGCACGAAATAAATAGTCTGCAAAACCCCCAAAAGCATGGAATCTACATCTGTTTTCAAGTATTACAGTTTGAGACATTATTCTAGTTCAGATCAGTTACTAGCAGTGAACTACTTTGAACTTGTAACCATGTTAGTCCATCCATGAGAAACACAGTGTAAAGAAGCTACAGCACACAGAAGTATTAAATCCAAACAACAGGGAGCATATTGTAGTGCAACTGATATGCTGCAAATACACAAAAAGATTAAATAGAAGAAATAGGTAAATGACAATGACGACACTCAGTTTGTCAGCTAGAGACACTGTGGAAAAGGAAAGAGAAAAACAAATGCAAGCATTATGTAAATCCAATCACAAAGAGCCAAGCACCACCTTGGAAGCATAGTGTACCTTTAGCTTACAGTGAACTAAGCTATGGAAGCAGAGAGTTGTCAGCACTTAGGATAAGTTCATGTTGAAAACAAAAGAAATGCAGGAAAAAGAAAGGGTGTGGAAAGTTTGGAAATATATATGAAAATATACAACAAACATGGCGATTCTGATGTCCATCCCCTACATCAGTTGTGATACTGTTATCTCTCAGCAGTCAGCTCCTTGAACTTCTCACCTGCACTAATAAGGGGTAGATTAAGTTCAAAGTTAGCCAGAGAGGTACGAAATGTGTGCAAGGGCATTCATCTCAGCTGGCAGGGATTTTCCACACTATAAGAGAAAGGTTTAATAACACAATCTCTGAGAACCCTCTCAAATTTAAAATAATACATTTGGAACTTAAAAAAATAAAATCACTATCAAGCTGTGGTTTTAAATATTTGTCATATGAAAATATTAATCTACAAAAAAGCCCGGCACATGCTAAATGGAAATACTTTTAATCAGGTGTATTGAAACTTGCACTTGTCAACTTTTTTTTTTTTCTTGGTTTGTATCAACTATGTGTAACACTACCAATATACAAACAAATTCCTCTAATGGCCAGCAGATTACTACAGAGAACAACCAATTGTAACATTCTACTGGTTCAGGCCATGCTACAAGCACTAACATCTGGGTTCAAACACTTCCTCAAGGGCGATGAATAGTACCTGTAACTGCTAATACATTACAGACAACTGAGTAATACAGCATAGTCACATATTTTAGATATGGAACTATCAAAGCCATATGTTGTACCAGGTCTTTCCATCTCATGCCTTACCACCTTTGCTGGAAATGCTATGTGTTAAGAGTGGCAAAATAGGTGAATCTGTGCAAATATTAATAAGTTGCTTCATGTGCCTTTTCAAACAGATCTTGTCAATACAAAATCTAGTCAGCTAACCAAAAATTAACTTAAAAGATGCTTGCGATGATGTCAGTTTCTGCTCTATTTTATGTATTTCAAAATCATTGGAAAACTACCAACAACCTAACCTCACTCCAGACGGGGGGAAACCCACAACTGTAGAAACACAGAGGAAAAGCTGGTAGCACCTAAACCTCCCTCCCAAATAACATTTACAGCAAAACAGACCATTATAGAGGATGGGAGAATTGACCATTCATTCTGAAGCAAGGTGGGAAATTAACTGTGGGCTTGACTGTGCCCTTTAGGCATAACCTTGTTTAGAGAGTAGTGGAGAACTACAGTCCCCAGGGAAGACACCCTGCCAAAGGGTGCTGCATGTCCTTGGGAACATATGCCTATTTTTCCAGGCCTCTCGGAAGACTATCAGCTAGGTCCTACTACAAGCTGTGCTAAACACACGCAGTGCGGAAGTAACTTTGCCAAAGCCTGTCCTGTTCCCCACTGTTTTCATTAGGGTACTTCAGTGTTTCTAGGGAATAAAAACCGCAGCTGTGGGGCATGGGGCATTAGGATGAACTTCTGGTTACACAGAGATTACACACAGGCAGTTCCTCACATCTGCTCCTCACCTTTGTTTCATGTACCCATAAAGGGACATGCAAGTACTTGCTTTAAAATGTGTTGTCCTAGAATTAGGACAAAGCTCAGTATCTTCTGCACCTGCATAACACTGAAGGTACAGCTCCCCTCAGGTTCCCTTTGTAGTGAATGCCTTCAGAGCCACACAATGGAAAAACCAACAACAACAACTTTCATTAAACTCCTCAAACTGACCACTCTTTGAGTGAAGTCTCAATGCAGTGTTACTGCACTAAAAGATAAAACACAGCCAAAACAGAAATAGTAATCAAGGAACAAGTGCTTGCAAGGCAGCTTGAAACGTATAGGAGTATACAAGTTCACTGGTTAGACACAGACATTCCTTCAGGAAAAATGAGGCTGGTTTATGCTCCATGTTTAGGGATATAAACATACAAGTGTTTCTTTTAAAATAAAAAAAATACACATATATGTAGTTTTATACACAATTTCATAGGTGTGTATATATATACATGCACATATACTTGTGTATGTAACAGATCATGTGCCTTAAATACTAAGAACCAAAGCAGCACAAGAGTCATAGGAAAGAAGGGATGAGAAATGCTGCAAGGAACACAAACTGCAAAAATATCTTGCACCTTGCACTTCAGAAACTGAGAATCCCGTGGATTAGGAGGGAATTTTGGCTCACTGTGGAAAATCATGTCTCTGTTCTAGATGAGGAAAAACTTCACAATGATTTTGCTTTAAAGATTAACCCTTACTATGAATAGCCAAATGTAAATGGACATTGTATAGCAACATTGTCATTTCCTTGAGGTACTAATACTGGTAAGCAAAACAGTGCTAACTTTTACATGATGTCTCAATTTCACCTTCTCAGTATCATTTGGAACACCTGGAGAAGTCTCTTAAAAACAGGCCTTGTAAAAACTTAAAACATGAGCAGCTTTATCATAAAACTTTTAAGACAGGGAACTCTCCCCAAGCAATGTTTCACCAAGCAGTAAGAAACAATGGGGATTCTTTACGTAGCTTTCTAAAATAATTGATTTTTGCATTCAAACATTCCAGTATAGCTGCATGGCACTAGGTATTGATCTTTGATTCTCAAAAAAGCTTTTTATTTTTTTGGGTTTTCATAACATCTATCATTACTGCACCATCAACGCAGCTTTGGAAGCATACACTGGCAGAGTACACCAAAGACTGAAAACACATTGTTTTCATAGTAACTTAACTTCTGCTCATCTCAAAATCCTCCTCCAACAAAAACTTTACTCTCTCTCTTTTCTTCTTTTTTTTATCCATAATTTAGCTAGGAGCAGACGCTGAACCACAACCTGGACACACACAAGAAATGCTCAATACAGACTATTTAGAAATAGAACGGAACACCAGTACGTGGCATACACACCAACTGATGTTTTTCCTTCAGCATTTCTTTTCTTTCCTCCCTATCCTCCTTGGGACCCAGAAAAGCACTTCAGCTGTGTTCTGTGAAAGAGAAAGCTAACCTGTTGCAAGCTCCCTACATATGAAAATAACTGACCGGATGTTCTAAAAATGAGACCAGATCGCTGAAAGGATAATCTGGTGCATGTACTGTGTTTTCGACAGCAAAGGGCTGAAGGACAAAAACAAACAGCAAAATCTGTTCACAATACAAGTCTTTGCAGGCTAAGCAGCACCTTAAGACGACAGCTACTAATATATTTCACTCCATTATGCTTAAACATACCCTTTTAAAAGCCATTCATTTATAGGTGTGATTGATAATAGCTGAAGAAAGAGCCATATTGCTGTTGGGAAGAACACAAGTGTAAAAATCTGGACAAAAAGGTGTAGTTTCACATGCATCAAAGCACTTGTCAGCTCCTGCAAAAGAAAAAGAAGAGAGGAAGTTGCAGTCATAACAGAAGTAAGATCACGTTTGTGCTTTAAAAACTAGGATCATCTTTATAATACAAAGAGAGTGCATGTCAAAAAGGCACCTTTAGGGATCATCTGATCTCCTCTTTAATAATGAAGTACATCCAGACAACATAAAAGCTCTGTCTGCTCCTGGGCATTTTTCCAAAAGAATTGTCCACCACTTCAATAATAGTGTAGCTCTCATAACAGTAGCTTTTCAGCAGGCAGCCTTAGCACTTTGTCACTGCTTCAAAACCTGTGTTAACTATGCTGTCGGCCTGTTTACTTTATTGACTGCTGATATCAAGAGGAAGGGAAACTTGTACTGTCCATGTGATTTCAGGTTTCTCTAGCCTAAAGAGAGCCACAAACTGTGATTCTCATTTATACTGTAAAAAAGGGATGTTTACATTACAAACAGTAACCTTTTTTTTTTTAAAGGAAGACTAACAACCGTAAAAAACAAAGTAATCTGCAGCAGATTTTGATTATTTATTGTATCAACAGATAGAAAATTTATAGAAAAAAACCTAGGCTGTTGAAGAACAGCAAAGAAAGAATACTAAGACCATAACAAGCTAACAACAGCTAAGCCATAAAATTCAGAGAAATAAAGTGCAAAATACCACTGGAGACTGAGAACACAAACAAAAAAACATTTCATTTTAAATACTGCAAGAGCACTCGAGAGAGGTGATCAAGTCTCCTTATGCAACAAACTCTTCAGTTAGCTCTGTGTCTCTCCATTTCTGTCTCTTCAGGCACTCCAAAGATGATCTATACAGTTTTTGAGAACAAGGAAAGTCTTGTACATTTCAGCTATCATAGATGGAGAAGAAAAATTCCTTTTTTCCCCTCTCAAAACAACTCTTTTCAAGTAAACAATGCAACAGGAAAAGAACTGATAGCATTTTTATTCAAAACCCAATTTGCTAGGATTCTCTAGCTGTGACACCCCAGATGCATTTAAAAAATATATATATACACAAGTGCATTTTCATGTACAGTAATGCATCATCCAATCTTCAAATGCCACCCTCTCTCAGCTTCAAAACAGTTTAACTTTTATGAAACAAAATCAAATATTACATTTTTGACCATCCAGATGCACACTGATGTAATTACACATCTGGAATTACTAGCAATTCAGCACCATGTCCTTGTTACTTTATATCTCTCAATAAAATTACCCCCCAAATTTGGGTTATGGGGAAAAAACCTTCCACAAAAAAAAAAAAAAAAAAACAAACACAAAAAACCGCACATCTGTTCATATACTATTCTTAAAGTTATACAAAACGTGGACTTGAAATGTACATCTTGATCCAGTTTTACCAAGAAAGTATCACTACATTCACTGCTTGGTTAGCTGAATGAAACAACATTTTTTAAAATGAAGAAAGTTCTTACATAGGCTAGCATCACTCTGCATGAAAAAAACAGACCTTCTTCACATATAACCTGTCACAGTACCTACGGTGTTATGAATAGCTTCACTGTAGTACTATTTCATCTCATCTCAAAGAAAAAGCAAAAATAAAATGTCTAGCAGTAGAAACACATCCTGTGCGGGAAGAAAAGATACCTGAAAATACCTATATAAAAGTGTACATTTTAAAAGTAAATAATATAATTGAGAAAAAACAAAATAAGTGACTTCTTTCAAAGATGCTAATTCCTCCTTCTTTCCTGCCAAGTCACCTCCAGTCCAGATTTCCTACCGGACCAATCTATGAAGGCACACCCAATCTAGGCACCATCACATATACAGAAGTGCCCTTTTAATTTAGTAATTTTACAATTTGAAAGCACCTTGAAAACAGATGATTTGAAGAAAACCATGTGATACTTTCAAAAGCAAGATCCAAGACACAAACTTGGGAAAGACTGGTTAGAGCTTCCAGGGAACAAGGAAGGCAATTACAACACAGCCAATGTAGCGCATGAAAGAATGCTATATTAGTGGAACAGGTCTTTACAGATCTAAATCAACAGTCTTTAAAACGTCTCTAGTGATTGCCTTTTAGAATAGTTATTCTTTAGACTGTATCACAGAACAAACACTAAGGCAAACAGCCTTCACTCTCTTAAGGGTTTGTCCCAAATTACATCTGTCACTGTAGCCCTCAAAAAAGCAGAGGTCTCAGAAAAGTTACTGCAAGCTCCTAGTTATGACTCTGTTTCTGCACACCACGTAGAACAGCTTACCTTGTCCTTCCCAGTATTTCATACCCGTTAGAGAGCTTATCCTAGCCTCTCGCTGGTCAGCATGGGTCCTTGTTGCCACCTAGCCACGCTTAGATGGTCATAGCTAGACTCCTCTGGGCAAATACCCACACAGAGCAAACAGTGTTTTCAGTGGCTTGTCAAATTCCTCATTGAAATGGATAACTCAAGTATGTGATTTAACTTCTGGGGCCCTACAGGAGGTATTTGCTTTAAAAGAGCAAGCTACCCAGTCACTGAAAACTGAAAGCGCGTTATGTTAAGGTGGAATCAAATGTTCTTGTCATTCCTGGACACAGATTGTTTCTACAAATGCATGAGGACCTCAGTCACCTCTAGATTTGAAAAAGTAACAAGGCCACGCACAGACAGGCTCTCCCTCCAATTATATTGCAAAATGCTTCCTGATTGCACATTAGCAAATTTTTTTGAGCATGCACTTTCACAGCAGATAAAACCAGAAGTTTAAACTTAAAAGAGCATCAGCTATTTCTAATTTTGTCAGATTTATCAGAAGGCCTCCATTAACACTTACACAACTTTTCATCATCTCATAAAGCATACCAAACACTAGTTTCGACCCAATTAATACATTATCCAAGGTAGAACAGCCAACACACAGGTCAAGAACTAATAAACAAAAAAGCAGAAATTATTTACTTTGCCATCCAATAAAAAGATATATTAACTGACTAACAATATCAACTGCAGGTTGTGCTTTAAACAATTGAAACTTACCCCAAAGTATTTTAATAAAATCATGACCTGGCTTCCTAACCCATTTAAGGATTGGTTTTAACATACATTTCAGAAAGTAATAGCACAAGGTACAATGAGTGAAATGTTTTTCTTCCTCTTTATCTTCTACTCCCATAGCAGAAATTCAGAAAAGTCTTAGCTTCTTGATGGGACATAAAGCTGGATGTACAGCACCAGTCCTAAATGATGCTTCCAAACCAATCTGAGATCAGCTACCCAGATGTAAACATCAGCTCCTGTAAAAGCTTCATTTACATCAATAGATTGCTTTTAGAACCACAGATGAAAAAAAGTTATGCAAGTTCAAAGTAGGACATGACACATTGCCCAGGAACCTGTCAGTCATGTCACCTTAACTAGGAAGAGTTAGATGTACAATAGCACTGAGAATCTAATCAAGACTTTGATAATGCTACTGATGTCACTCTCGGTCACAGCTGCTTTACAAATATGAAGCTTCAAGGATACAAACTAGTGAAAGGGAAAGAAGTTTCATGTTTTTTCTCTGCATGCAAAGATTCCTAACCCTGAAAGCAGAAAACTCCACTCTATTAGTACTACTCGGGCTTTGTTTTTTGGGTCCTCTTCTCTGTGGAAGAAAGTGCTTCTCTGCAGCCTGTTTCCATTAGGATTAATTACTGTCCCAGGCAAATAGATAACATGGTTCCTCCTGCTTCCCCATAAGACAAGGGTATAAATAGCTGTTACAGAATTGACTAGAGGTTCTAGTGCCAGAACTGCCAGCAGATGCAGGAGAAGGCCGCCACCAAACACCACCTCCATTTGAAACTTCATCAGTATAACCATGACACGTTACAGAAATTACTTTTTGTTGAATGCACACTGTTCATCCAAATCCCAGCTTGCCCAGAAGATAACCAGACAATGTCACAATGATTCTTTTAGGCACCAGTATCATGCAATATGAGTGACATCACCTGTTAGCACAGCCAACAGCGTAAAAGGAATCAAGAAACTAGACTAGCTGAGACATGCAGTGTTTCGTTTCAGCTCTGGCTGTGCCCTGTCTTCTTGGCCACATAGCCATCATTTCCTTTCCCCATGCCTCCTTTACATATCACTAAGAGGTTCTCCCCTTCATCTCTTCTTACTCCAGAATTGTTTCTCTTTGAAAAACGTGTGACACAATTTGAAACAAGTCTCAGTGTCTGCGATACGCAGCAGAACACAGGCACTTTAAGTCTACCTATCCACAACTAAATCCTATAGGAAACGACCTGTACATTGGCCTTGTATCTGCAGAGGAACTGTTTTGTTTTGATACTAGCTGCTGTCCTGTGCCTACCCAGCGTGGTAACTTAAAGCCACCAGATCTTTGCTTGTGTCAATCCTGTAGTGACTAGCCTAAACAGTTTTACTTAGAGAGCACACCAGCAGACGAGAGGCAGAGAGACAGAGGACAGAGGCAGAGAGCTCTCACCTTCTTTTCGTGTCCTGCAGAGGCATGGACACTCTACATAGCCCCTCTCTGCCTAGTTCTCTACAAAGTTCTACCCTAGCCTACGCAGTCTTCTGGACTGTATCTCAACTGAGCAGTGGGGAAGACAAGGTGCAGAAGGTGTGGCAAAAGGCAGGTGCGTTCCAGGGTCTCACCCTGATTTGGGTTTGGAACACATCCAGGGTGCAGATCCAGTCTCAAAACTGTGCTCAGCACTTCCACTTAGTCAAAGCCCTGCAAAATCAAGCAACCCACCCTCTATGGATAGGTGAAATTTATTCACACTCTTCTCATCACATTCACTACCTTGTGAAGAATGTTCTGAAATGAAGGAAGAGTTAATTACATAAACGTCCAATATTTATCTTCTCTTGTTAGCCATTCTCCCAGCATCAACAACAGCATAGTAATTAAATATTCCAATTACATTCAAACCTGATCAAAAGCAACACAAAACTTTTAAAAGCAAAACAAGAATGAAGCAATGAAAAATTACAGTACCTCAGTTTTTAAGGAGAGTCCACTGTTAAAGAATATAGCTGAAACAGCAATGTAAGTTATGGTAATTTCTGGTTTCAAAGGTCCTAAAAAATATAGACACAGAGAACAAAGTGAACTACAGTCAAAGAGATAATGACATGCATATATTACATCAAAGTAAATGAGAATACTTAGAAAAATACCTGGAGAAAATCTAATTGTTAAAGTCTCTAATAAAAAGAATAGGGTTTCTATGAAGTTACAGAAAGCATGCTATTCTTTTTAAACAAAAGCAAACCAGTGAGTGGAGAGTGAGGTATGATGTCATACACATTCAGCTTCTGTGACTGCAGGCCACTGGGAACTAATGGGTAAGTTCTGGAAATGTGAAAACGGAATTTTTCACAGTTCTGTCATCAGAGTATCCGTATAGCATCAGCAAACTCCAACCGTACACTCAAATAAAAATACTAGTTGCTCCCTCCACAGGGCCATCGATATCATTCAAGTATCTACCTCTCACTTCTTCGCCCACACCACACACACCTGCCTGGCTGCCTGCACAGAGGAAACCACATCATACCTTGTATGATTTCTATGGGGCAATACAATTCTGTGTCATTCCCCCACAACAGGGTTGTGGCAAAATAGTTCGTTCCAGCCCTACAATAACAGATTTCAGACAGACTGCGGCAGTGAGATCAGCAAGGGCAGATGCCTGCACCTCCAAGAATTCCACAATATTAAAGTCTCACATTTGTATATATTTATATACTTTTATCAGGGAGATTAAAATAAAATACTTTTTACGCTCCTATAAAAGTGATGAATTCTCTTAATACACTTTGAATTCAGAAGCCACCAAGCACAAACTGTATATACTCATTTTTTCACAAGCATTCAACCAGTTACTATATTAGAAAGAAAATACTAGGAGTCTACTTAGGGCCAAAGTAACATCCTAACTCTGCAAGCGACAGTAAGTTGTCATGAGCAAAACTGCAGCAGCACACAAGCAAGTCTTTACTTGACACTCCAGAAGAGAAGATCCTTTCTGTACTCTGAGATGAATGATACATTGATGGTCACACTGGAGCAAGGTCAACGATCCTTAAATTAGAGGGATTCGATCGTACACTGAGTCTAACCAAATTTGCATTTCAAGTCATTTAAACCCAAACCCTACTCTCAGAGAATACTCTGTCGATGAGACAGTAAAACCGTGTGTGTTAAATACAAAAAATAAACCAAATAACCTATATGAAGCATAAGGTAAAAATAAGTGGGAAATACAAGAGTTAAAGTTGCAACAAATCACATGGCTAGTTGCAAAATTATGGCATGTTAACTGAACAGCCGGGGGGGGGGGAACAGAAAAATTATATAAATATAGTTATATAGAAGACTGTATTATATAGACATATATATTTTTTCTAATCTTTTAGAAGATTAGAGCATATACATACATGCACATACACACCTGGGCAGACTGGCAGTGGGTTAGTTAGCCTCACTAAGACTGGGGTTCTTCCAGGAATCAGTTTTTCTATTATAGGGTTTGTCACTGGGCCACCTGAACTCTTTTACACAGGAGAAACCTCTACCACTAGAGCAACCACACATTCATGGAGCACAGGGAACTCTGGTCAGAACAGACCCCCTTCATCTCTTGTGCTAAAGACTGGTTAGGAAAGCTTTCTTCACAAAGGAACTAAATAGGTTCATTCATCAAACAGGAAAACACACAAAAAGGGCTTGGCTTACGCCCTGAAGGTGGCAACAGCACAAATCTTTGTTATTTGTGGCACAATGTTCCACTGGTATGGATGCTGAACTATTCATGCCATTCAGGAAGGCCCTGCAAATTACAGTGCATGGTTTTGTCAGCTGGAAGATGACAAACTGTAAAGTTGTTTCATATGCTGTTATTTCCCACCCCCCCACCTCTTTTTTTCTTTTTTTTTTTTCCTGGTTTTAAAACGAGCACAGAGATCGCCTAGCTTCAGAAGAAGGATACCACTTTGGGGAACACGTGCTCACAAGTTTCAATCAATGCTTACACGATTTCTCAAGCAGGTTATCCCAGGAACAATACCATGTCAATGCTTGACATATCTTTGCAGTAGGATAATTAAATGAAGTGCTCCATCATAGTGCTTCCATGCAGGAAGTAAGCCGAGGAAAAATTATTTCGTATTCTACTTAAAAGGATCTCCCACATTGCTGATAACAATTAGCATGACAATCAAGCCAGAAAGGGACAAACCACCTGATACTATAAATTTAAAGTTGTCTTTAAGGTCTGCTGAAAACACAGCATGGATCCTGCAAGAAGCTCCATGTGGGTCCTATTCACCTATGCAAAACAGCACACAGATGTTAGAAGTGATGCTTGCACAGCAGCAATTTGCCTACCCTGAACTCCATGAAGTACCGGAGCCTTAGTTGCCACAGCAAGTGTTCAGAGCCATATTTTTTTTAATCATTTTTTTTCCCAGAACCTAAGGCGGGGGAGAAAAAGGTTGGCTCCTCAGTGAGAAGCTGTCTATCCTCAAACTTCAGCTCTGTTAAGGAAAAAAAAAAAAAAAAAAAGCGTATAGAAGCACAACTAGATTCTTCCTCCCCTCCCATAAAACGGAATTGCTAAAGGAATTCTGTTTGAGTGTTCTATATCCCTTTTCTTAAATCTTCAGAGATCAATTCGAAAAAAATATAAAATTTAATTTGTTTTTGAAAATTGTGAACATCTGGAAGTGAAGTTATAACAGAAACTAACCAGAAGATGCTGCCAGCATTTATATTTAAAAGACAGGCTCTTTATTTTAAAATAGCACTAGATATTTCATCAGCTCTTGTTACAAGAAACAAACAAGACCTCACTGCTTAGAAAAGGACAGATCTTTCTTCTGATTTGTTTACTGTGAGCATTTGACACCATCAGTTTGACGCCATCATTCTGGCACAGAGTCATTTTCACCGTTTTCCCTCATCTTTCATGAGGAACCAAGAGGGAACACAAAATGATCTCTTTAAAATACAAGCATGTTATTATAAAGTAAAAAAATCATCTGGCTGAAATGCAGCACCTAGGATTTTAACACAATATACACTAAGCTACGCCTCTGGAGAAGCTCACAGATGGCAGACATTCATACACTGACCTGCAAAGACTTTATGCCCACCTTAGAGTTCTTGAAGTTATTACTTAGTTTAACAGGAGTACATTCAAAGTTGCTAGCCGGTTTTCATTACTACTAATCCAAAAAGAGCAGGCTATTACTCAAGCAGCTGGTACAGTGCCTAGCAAAGATACACACAGGAACACGCCGTGAAATACTTCTCGGGCACCTGAGAAACAGCGACCGATTAACGAGCGGAGAAGGCGAGCTGCTGGAGGCGCGGGGGCGGCAGGAGGGCCCGGCGGACTGGGCTGTGCCCCGCAGCCCGCCCCCCTGCGCCCCCGGGACGCTCCAGGTCTCAAAGTTTCTCAGCGGACGCCTCGATGCCCCGGGGGCGCCCCAGCAAGTCTCAGCAAACCGACCGGCCACCCTCCTCCCGGGGCACCCCCAGAAAGGCCCGCAGACTCCCCCCCC